CGCATTCGCAAGACGAAAACCACAGAAGCTGTGAGTTCGCAATCTAGAGAAGCAGAACATCAAGGCTCTCTCGGATACCTGAACTCCTGACCTTGTCGAAACGCATGAGCCTAACGATTCGTCTTACCAACCGTGCGGAGTGGCTGCAGAGTGCCTAAGAAGTCGGTTTCGAACCCTGGAGGTGATAAATTTCGACTCCCGCGGCGAGAAAAAGTAGGTTTTTAGCACCAATTCCATTTTGTAAGTAAGGAATTTACTACATGCTGCTTCAGACTGGAATTACTCGGTCGGTCGGATTATCAGACTTAGGACTGATAGGTCCTGGGTTCGAGCCACGGTCACTTGCCTTTTTTCTTTCTAAGGATGATAAATGAGTACGACTCTGACAAATCTGTGAAAACTAAACAGGAGAACACAGATTATGCTTGCCACATCGCTGTTGCAGACTGCCCTTAAAATAAGGCATTCCGGGCTGATAACTCAGAAGTGGAAAACAGCGCACCTCACCATTAACAACATGAAAACAAGAATGCTAGAACTGGTTCCACCAAGTCAATGTAAGGAAGACCGATATTTCAAAGGCTACAAGCTTTCCTCATCCTTTCCCTTCTATCAACCTTGACATTGACGGTCAGATGGTCATTCCTATTTACCATTTTTAAGTTTTATGTTATGCGCATATCTCATGACTTGTTGAAAACGAAGCAGAAGACTGCCGATTTATACGTCATAGCAATATAGGTTTTTCGTCTTCATCTACAGTCACGAGAGCCAGATTCTGACCAGAAGAGTGCGATTAGGCATACAAGCGGCAAAAATGATATTCTTTCGTTGGATTTATGATCTGACGAGTCGAAAAGTTGCGGAACGCATCAGTCAGAGATATGATAGGTTTTACGCCGTTTCTTTCCGAATTCGATACTTTGCAAATGCGAAGGTTTAAGCACGTGGTCAAAACACCACAGAAAGAAAAAAACTCGTAAAAAAGTTCGTTTTCACAAAGTCAAATTACAGGCTGCCAAAGAACTGACCAATAACCAGCCTTGAAGTCCATCCCATACTGTCAGGCCAAGAGAACCAGGATATGCTAACATGATTTTACTTACAGATCAACGGATCGGCACAATCCGCCATGAATCAAATATCCCAATTATGGTCCTACTGTGTGAACACTGAATTGGCACCAAGTCAACATTCATTGTTTCTATTCTGTAACTGAAACTCTGGTTGCGGTGGTACGATGTTAAGCGATCGTCCACGGTTTCGAACTCCGGAGTTACAGAGTCTGAATCTCAACGAATTAAAAATTTGATTTAACCGATAACTTTTTTGAGCAAGGAATTCGCACTACGTTGCTTCGGTGCAACCAGTCAAGAAACAGGTAGTTAAATCGTTGTCTTGTGAACAAGACGGGGAACTGGTGTTCTGGTGTGGCAATAATAGACTGGGAAAGAAGAACAGCCATGCCTCTGATGCCAAGATCTTTTCCGGCTGCAATGTGCTATGACCTATTACACAGCTGGCTGTTCGGCGTGATTATGTTACTCTTGCTGCTATATAATAATGCTGATCTTGCAAATCCGTCGATCGAACGATCGAACAACACGGTATATCGAATATAAGGTCTGAAAAATGGAAACAATATAACAGAAAAGACAACTGGCTCAAAACTTTGAACCTCAAAATGGCAATAGAGCAAAATGGAAGACATAGTTGTATCAGTAGCACTACTTATAAGGAAAATCTCTTCTAGTAATTACACACATAGGAACATTGGAAAGGACGCACGGTAAGTCTGAAATTGCAGCACAGTTCGCACCAAAAGAATCGCATAAACATTCAAAAAATCAGTAACATTAAAAACTTAACAAATATTTGGACAGCTAATTATGAATGTTAATATATCACGGAACGCACACAGATTCATTTTTTACCAGCAGTTCGATCGTCTCGTCAGGGGGATGTAGATTAAGCAGGTCTAATTTCAGCTTGTCGAGCTTTTCCTTATGTTTAGTCACATCGTTTGAGATGTACGACGCCTCGTCTTGGAGAAGAAGTAGATCAGCCCGTGATTTCCTGAGCATGGCATCATGCTGAAATAATTGGCATAATTACTAACCGCGGCATCACGGAAATGAAAGTAAAACAAATACATTAAATTCAGAACTATTCTGTTATTTACTGAGTTTAACAGCGTTTAACCGTTTATACCTATGCGCCGCTGGTGCTATAATACCATGGAGCAGTAGTCTGCCCAAATGTCCACCCCCCCCCCAAAATCTCTATTAGCAAGGAGACGATGCGATTAGTGTAAATTCTAAAAAGTAGCATGAATACAGTGATCTAACGCTATCATAAACTGACTTTCCCTAATAAACACAGAATACTGTGCGTAGCATTGAACCTATTCAATCAGTTATTAGTTGTTTTATTTTTGTTCATTATTTTAGAGAATAATTTACGCTAATTTTATTGGTTGAAATAGTTCACGTTTAGAGTCCGACTGAACTTGTTGTCAAGCATGACAAATTGATTCAACACATG